ATTTAAAAGACGAGTAGATGAGGCGCTGAGGGACATGGTTTAGTGGACATGGTGGTGTTGGGTCGACGGTTGGACTCGATGATCTTAGAGGTCTCTTCCAACCTCAATGATTCTATGATTCTATGACTGGCACTTCTGGGAGCGTTGCTGAATGATGGTTTGTAGCCTGCCTGTGAACAGGTATCCCTGAACAGCAGGGATCTCTGGAGGCCGGTTCCTTCTGCCTTCGTTTAGCTCGATCTCGGAAATTTAATTGATTTTTAGCCCTAAGCTTAAAATATGTTGCAAATGATACAGCATTCATTTCCCATACGGCGTAGCACTGTCGGGGACACGATGTGTAAGTGCCAAAAGCAGCCGTCAGCCGTAGTGCAGAGCTGTCGCTATTACGGGTGGCGGTGACAGCCCCCGGTTCTTCCTGCTCCTTGCAGTTCGGTAACGAAGTGCAAATGCAGAGCGTGGACCCTCCCTGGCAGCTTCTCTGAAGCTGTGATTTCACAGCAGGCTAACGAACTTCGCAGTCAGCAGCTTCTCTGAGGGCTGCCAGAGCGGGGACGTTTCCCTTCTCCAGCCTTGTCCTCTCCCTTCTGGTTCCGCTGCGTCTCAGAAGATGCTTCCTTGAGCCAGGTCACCTCGTCGGCATGACCGAGAGCTGTCTCTCCTCCTGCGGAGGTAGTTTCCCTTCCATGAGGTGAGCGGGTTGAATCGGCTCCCCAGGGAGTGTGTCAGGAGCCGAGCCGGCACACAGGGAGCAGCAAGAGGAGGGTGGGAGGGTAAGGACCGCCTTTTAGCAGCAGAGGTGCTAGATCCGCTTGCCCCCTCTTAGAGACCCAGGCCTGATTTTTACAGTCCTCTTGCGTGTTTTGCTGAGCCTGCTCGTTCTAGCCCGGACAACTGTCTTGCTGTCCCTGTTTTTCAAAACTGAAGACCTCATTCTGTCTCACGGGAATTTACTTTGAAACTGTCTTTAGACTTCCCAGCTGATGCCAGTTTGCTCCAGCATCACTTGTGCCTTGCCAGCAGTGTGGACACCTGAGCCGGTGCCGGAGAAGCCTCCTGCTCCTCCCCGTCGGATTTTCAGCCTTGATGTTAAAGACGACTTTGTTCTCTGGGAATGGCCTGTCGCTGCGCACGTCACTCGAGCCAGGCTCTGGAGCGCTTTCGGAGGGGTTTGTGCATGTCCTGGGTCTCTCGCTTTCGGTATATTCTGGCTGTCCAGCAAGTTAATCAAGGTTGTGGAGGATTCCCAAGCTGCTGCTTCCAGAGGCTTCTGGACTACGCGCAGGAGAGCTACGTGCATCAGCTGAATGCGTACAGCACTTGGGAATCGACAGGAGGGTCTCCTGCTCTGCCAGAGAAACGTGGAGAGCATCAGGGAGCTCGTGGGGAAGGATGGCGTGTGGACGGAGAAGGGAAGGGAAGCTTGCAGATGTTCTGCGATTACTCTGAGGTTTCCTGCTGAGAGACCAGACAGCAAGGAGCCTTGCTTGCTCAGGTTGCCAGAGCTTTTCTGTAGACGCGGCGTCATGGTCCTCACGGAGAGGCCTGTCTGGGGCTCCAGGAGGAGCTGGGAGCTCTGACCCACGGACAGAGAGGACACTGCTAGTGTCACACCTCACAGCGAGGGGTTGTGGCGCTGTTCTGCCGACTGACTCCTTGAAGCGTGGTCCCTCACTGCTTCCGTAAAACCTGTGGTACTCCCTTGGTGAAAGCCGATGATTTGGAGGGTGCCGAAGCCAAGCCGACGCTCTTCGGCTGGTCTGGTCTTAGTCTTTCCCGCGCCGTCCGTGGAAGCAGTGGGTCTGGCAAGGGAAGAGACCCTTTAGGTACAGGGGGGGTGTTACTGCTCTGAACGTTTTGGTGTTTGAAATACTCTTGCCGGAGCTTTGTATTTTTATCTTGTGGGGTATCCCAGTTTGTGACTGTTGTGTTTGCCCGGCCTAGAGGAGTGGTGGGAAGACTTGACGGCTCCTGAGACGATGGAACGCAAACCAGTTTAGGACGTGTTAGTCTCTGTGCAGGATTCAAGCATAGATGGTGGAGGGATGATGAGGTGCCTCTCCAGAGCTGTGCTCCTTCTCACGATCCTGGTGGTTATCTGCAGCTCTCTCCAAGAAGATGCTTTTGGGAAGTTGGAATGTAAGAAGTCTTGTCTTTGGGGCTTGAAAAAACCCGCAGAGGAGTAAAGGCAGCCTCTCTTGAGGACAGAAGAGAGAGGTACTGAACTGTGAGCCAGCGCTGGCGCCTCAGCCCATGGAGAAGTGTTAATCCGGTCTGAGCAGCAAGGTGCTGAACTGAGTTGTGCTGTCCCAGCTCCCTTCGGGATCCAGGAGCGAGAAAGGCCACTGCTTCCACCACCTGCCTGTCAGCAGATTGCAAAGCCCTGTTCTTAGTGCCTCTCTAGCTCGCAGGGCTGTGTAAATATTAGGCTGTCCTTGTCGGATTAGATTTCCTCTTAATGACTTCCAGCGTTCTGACAAGCTGTGCTTTCTTCCTTGGCAGCCCCGGTGCTGAGCTGAGCCGTCCGACTCTGCTCTCGGAGCCCCCGGGGAAAAGCCCGGTGGCCTGCAGTTGAAGGCCAGGCTGAAATGTTTATTTTCTGCTTTTATAATCCAGGAAGCCCCTTCAGCGCTGCTCTGTCAGAGAGTCCCTGCTGTGGCACTGGGCGCCTGAAGCAAATCTGTCCTGTGCCGGGTGTAAGCATCATCGGGGTCCGGTGCAGCGAGGCAGCGAGAGCTGCTTAACTCTTCCCTTCCCGCAGGGATTGCACCCGGAGACCTTGCCTTGCTCTTGTCCGTTCAGATGCGCAGCTCGGAGCGTCCTCGCAGGGCTCTGGGCTGCGGTACCGTATCCAGCTCCTCTCTGCTTCTCCACCAGCGCCTGCCAGTGAGCCTGTGCTCATTTTCCTTCTTCTCGGTGGCTCCGCGCTGCCTTCAGCTCAGCACCGCGCAGCCGCAGCAGCAGGACCCCAGCCGTTTGGGGTTGATATATTCTCATCAGCAAGAGCGCGTGTGGGGACTGGACAGAGGAGCCCCTTGGTTCAGTTCTTCTCTCTAGCCCTGTATCGCTTTTTCTCCTCTCCTCTGGATTAATTTGTTCTTGTGTTTGCCACACCAGCCTTAAATAGGAGAGCAGCGGACAAATTC